GCAGGTTCATGTACCCATCTTTCTTAAATGTGGTCTCATCTGACCATAAAATTTTTTCAAAGAACCGTGGATCTCCCCTGTGTCTTTCTAACATTGTGCGACAAAAAGCAACTCGGGGCTCATAATCCCGGGGCAGAAGAGCTTGAACACGCTGTACGTGGTATGGATGGAGCACGTTTTTTTGCAAGATTCTATGGGCTGTACTTTTGGGCACACCTGTTTTTAGTTCTATTGCACGCACTGAAGTACTCGGGTCTTCTTCGACAGCTCCTAGCACCACGTCTTCGTAAGGAAGGAAAGATCTTCCCTCACCGTGTGATTGGTTTGGTAGTTGGCCCTCTGAGAACAGTAAGCGGTGTACATTTGTGAACACTCGATGATCTGGATGACGAGCTGCATTGGGGTACCTCTCACAGTAAAGTCTCGCTGCAGCGCTAGCGTTGCATCTGCATTCCCCATAAATGAGGTGCATGTTAGCATATTCTTGTACGGTGTACACGGACATAGCGGCACTGCACAATCACAGTATCAAAGATAGTCTAAGGAAAGCAAATGTTGTTTTGAAGAGCAATTAAACAGTCCAAATCCAAGTCACAAGCGATCAACAGTCCAGTTCACGAATCCAAAATTAGTAACAGTACGAAATCCACAAGCACACATGTAAAGATGCGCAGTAAACGAAGGAGTACGGATCGGTATCAAAGTGTGCAATAGCAAGTAAGTGATGTGCTTCATCCATACCACATACAGCGTGTTCAACCTCTCCTGCCCCGGGATTATGAGCCCCGAGTTGCTTTTTGTCGCACAATGTTAGAAAGACACAGGAAAGATCCACAGTTCTTTGAAAAAATGTTATGATCGGATGAGTCCACATTTAAAAAAGATGGGTACATGAACCTGCATAACTTACACGAGTGACACGTAGCAAACCCACATTTGATGAGAGAAGATAAATCTCAATATCGCTTCAAGATAAACCATTGGACAGGAATTTTAAATGGTAAAATAATCGGTCCGTTTGAGTTCCCAGAGACTTTGACTGCTGAAGTTTATTTGGATTTTTTGAAAAATCATGTACAAAATTTATTGGTGGACGTGCCACTGAGTATTTACAGGGACATGTGGTTTCAGCATGATGGCTGCCCAGCGCACTATGCACTCTCAGTGAGAGAGTATCTCGATCAAAACTTTCCAGGCAGATGGATAGGGCGGTCTGGTACAATACCGTGGCCAGCCCGATCACCTGATTTGAATCCGTTAGATTTTTTTTACTGGGGAACTGTAAAAGAAAAAGTGTATTTCAAGCCGATTCAAAATGTAGCTGAGCTACGGCAAAGACTATTGGAAACAGCTGAGTTTGTTAATAACCGTGGATTCGCTCGTTTAATAACACGATCTTTTTTAAGAAGATGTCGAGCGTGTATTGCGGCTGAAGGAAAACAGTTTGAGCATTTGCTGTAAAGGTAAATCATCATCAGCAGCATTTTGACGGCCACTGTTGTGCAAACAGTTATCCTTAAGGGTCCTTGTGCGTTTTCATAATCGCTGTTTAATTAAGAAATTTTGAAAAATTTTCATCAGTTTTTCTTCAAATAAAAATTGTGCATAAGTTAACGAGTAATCTTCTAAGTGTTATACCATTTTGGAATCGTTATTAAATGCGCCAACTTTTAAGGTTACTTGCCAAACTCTCGTAGTACATTTTTTCCAGTACAGCCAGTTAAAGTTGAGCAAAGTTTCACTTTGGAATACTTGGTTGGGAAATAAGTGGCAATTTTTCCTGAACGAGAAAAGTTGGCAGTAAGGTTGAGACACCAGTTTGAAGATGCATTATTCATCATTACATTGTAAAAAATAAAATCCAAAACATGTTAATATTTGTAGTAACAGGAGTTGACAGACTGCCGAAGGGTGTGAAATTTCTATATCTTTTTCAAAGACCTATAATTTTCAAAACACATACATAAAATTTTTTTAAATATATTTCTGATAGCTGTTATGACTTTGCCTATTACCCGGTTTCGGCTTGACGTTGACTTCAGGGACACCCTGTATATCATAAATTCTGTGTTATTTACACTGTATCACAATGACGTGTTATCTCTGTTATAAATTTGTTTTTTGTTTATAACTGAGAAACCAATAAATTTCTATTCTATTCTACTTCATTACCCAAAATTGTTGCTGCGACTAGTATTTCATTAGGCTCTGTACACAAAGTTACTAAACTCCATAAATTTCATCCATCCAAAATGAAAATATTGCAAGAGTCAACCAAAGATGATTTCGATATGAACAAGTGACTGCAGCGATTCATGATAATACCATTAATGCAAAGAATATCTGCTTCAATGATGAATGCACATTTTATCTAAATGAATTTATTAATAATTCAATTCCTTTGCTCTAGCCTAGGTTATAAATAAAACAATGTGATCAGTACTCATTCGTCTTTTGTTGAATAAAGCCGCTTTTTAAAAAAGTCGTTCGTTGTTTGCATATTTAGAATTTACATACTTTGCACTACAACAAGATTTCCAGAAGAGATCAGCGAGCACCCTGTAAAAATAACTGAAAACGATATAAATTTTCACTCACCGTTTTTGTGGCGCGGATCTCCGAAGCCTCGCTTCATTCTTCTCGTAATCCAAGGGTGAAAACACTACAAACACTCACAAACACTTATTCCACATGCCACCAGCACATTTTTCCAAGCACGACTTGGTCTTATTTTTGCCTTTGCGAAAATAGAAAATGGCGCACGTGTAGAGCCCGTGTGAGAAGGCCGAAGTTTTCCTTCACTCTTCGCGTAACCGAAAGGTGCAAATCACTACAAACACTCGCAAACACTTATTTTTTATGCCCGCAAACCACTTTTCCGGGTTCGACCGAGTTTTCCGTTTAAATACGGTGAAAATAACGCTCCGGAAAAGCGTGTGGAAGAAGCCCGCAACGACCGCTTAAAACAATTGAATGGCGACGCTGCGTATGCATCAAAAACGACAGACATTTTTCTAGGAAATTCGCTAGCCCCGAACGCAGTTCCGAGAATTATTCCACACCAGTTTGTATTAACTAGGGCAATTTCGTTTAGTTTAACAATAATTATTCTCTCTACAGTAATCGCTGGCAAAGATATTTATAAATCATAATGTAGAATGCATCCTTTGGTGTCAATAATTGGCAGATTAAATAGGGTGAATATGCCATCACTAGTCGAAGTTTAGACAAAAAATGTGGAATACAACGTGTAATTACGAATTTTGTGTTCACGATAACACTACTAATGCTTTTGAAATATGCCGTTAACTTTTCGCCTACAACAAATACATGGCTTATAGAATAGGAAATTTATAAAAAGGTGCTATTTGCCAGTAGGTCCTCGGCCAGCCAGTTTCCGATTAAATTAGACAGAACCGTATCTAAAAATTTGTGATAGAATAGAAATTTCAAATAAGATGTCATTAAGACTTTGAGGGAAAGAAATTAAACACGCTCGTACTGAGTCCATTTGACATAGACATTTTATCAAAAATACATACAAACTATGTAAAAATGAACAAAACAATATTTTTTGCCTTTAATCCAGTCCTGCTCTGTCGACTTTGAACTACCGTACTGTTTACATATTTCAAGCAATTGCCCAAGATTTCTCATAACTTTGACTATGCTTTATCCTGCCTTCATTATACAGGATGTTTTGAAAGTTGAGTCATTTATTTTAACAGCTTCTGAAACTCAAAAGAATTCGATATACCAAAAATCACATATGTAAAAGCTGCATAATAAGAGAATTACTTTACATTATTAAAAATTATTTATTTTTTACAAAACCTGTTCAAAATTGTCCCCATTTAGAAGATCCTGGTGTCTACGAATTAAATCACAAGCACTTTCAGTGCGCTGTTGAAGTTGTTCCAGAGTATTTTCTGCTCCATCATGATACACCAACTCTTTCAAATAGCCCCACAGAAAAAAATCGCAGGGCATTAAATCCGGGGAGTAAGCGAACATGCCAAGAAATGGGTCCATTGCGCCCTATCTATCTATTCGGAAACACATTATTTAGATCATTGATTCCCAAAGTGGTCTATATCGACCCCTAAGGGTCTACGACAACCTGCAAGGGGTCTACGTCAGTGAAAAAAAAATTGGAGGTCCCTGAAATGAATATGGGGGTCCACGATAGTGGATCTCAACACATAACACTGATAGTACCTATTTACTTACATCATACTATCTTATAATATCAAAACTTCGCTACCTTGCACTGACTTGTTCAATTCGTCACTATATAAATACGAATGTGGGACCAATACGTTTATTCGTTTCCTGAATCTCGAAAAGGAAAGTGCTAAGAAAATATTTTAAAAAATATAAACAGATAGTATATCACACAAATTATAGTGAGTCAGTGTTATTTTGTTTGAGAGTGCTGGAGAAAAGTAAGTACATTATTTTTTATTAAATTTTAGTTTTGTACTCGTAGTTAGCAAAGATAGATAAATTACGCCAATCATGACTTTAGTTATTAGTAGTTAAATATTCAATCATGCAAAATTACACGGGTACTCCTCAATAGTTTCTTTTTGAAAGTTTTAGCAATCGGTAATATAATTACAGTGCAATCTCCGTAATTCGAGCTAATTGTTGCAAGAAGATGTTCGAATTATGGAATGTTTTCGGAAAAATCAAAAAATATTTTTGCTGCTGGATTTTCTGTCTTATTTAAATAATTTAATTTTGCCCACAGATGACTGATGCCATGACCGAATCTAAAAACAAATGTAGACAGTACAGTGTTGATTATTTGAAATTTGGCTTCATTCCATCATTGCCGGACAATCAATCGCCTATGTGCCTTTTATGCAACAAAGTTTTGGGCAATGACGCTAAGAAACCATCTAAACTGCAAGATCATCTGAGAAGATGCCACCCTGATAAAACAGAGAAAGATTTGAAATACTTTCAAACACTGAAAGATAAATTTCAGAAGAGACCTACACTGGACAGAATGTTCGCTTCGACGTCACAAAGAAATGATGATGGTTTGCGGGCGTCTTACAATATCTCGTTACTTATAGCAAAATCCGGAAAACCGCATACTATCGGAGAGAAGTTAATTTTGCCAGCTGTTGAAGAGGTTTTAAAAACTGTTTTACACAAACCTGCATCTGATATCATTAAAAGAATTCCCTTAAGCAACAATACTGTTGAAAGACGTATTGATGAAATGAGTTCTGATATTGAAAGCTTCTTATGTAATTATTTGCAAACGACCCTTTTCTCTATACAACTGGACGAGTCAACTTTACCTGATAATGCAGCATTATTATTGGCATATGTTCGTTTTATTATGAATCAAGAATTCTACGAAGAACTGCTCTTCGCAAGAACTTTGATAACCGACACTAAACGTGAATCAATATTTCATGTTTTGGAGGATCACTTCATTGAAAAAGCAATTCCTTTATCAAATATAATATCAGTAGCTACAGATGGAGCACCTGCCATGGTTGGACGTTATCGTGGATTTATAAACATAAAACGCTGAGATTTTACACGGCAGTGGTCGAGAATACCCAAAAACTCTGAGTAATAACATCATTTTTTTATAATATGTATTTTACTATGTCTTTTATTATGCAACTATACTAAGTGACATATAAATCCGAACACCCAGTTTAAATGGTTTTATTTTAATAAAATGTTGTATAAGTACTTAATGAAGCATAATAAGTAAATGATGAAAATTTCAAAATGATTGCACTGCTTTAAAGCCCTTTGACCTTTAATAATGTGTGGATGCACCCTAATGTGCTACGCATTCTCCAACGCGCCTAGGCATGCTTCTGATCAGGTGGTCAATGTCCTCCTGTGGTATCTCATTCCAGGCAACCACCAACTCCTCTCGAAGTGCTTCTAGAGTCTGAGGAGGACGTTGCAAATTGAGCAATCTTCTACCCATCATATCCCACACGTGCTCAATTGGGGATAAGTCGGGAGATCTTGGTGGCCATGGTAACAATGTGACATCATTATGTTGAAAGAAGTCTATTGTGACTCTTGCAACATGTGGTCGGGCATTATCTTGTTGGAAAGTTGGATCTGCCAGGGTGTCAAGATAGGGTAAAAGATGGGGTTCTAGAACTTTGTGGATATAACGCTGCGCGTTCATGTTACCTCTGATGAAGATTAAAGGTGACCTGGAACCATAAGCTATAGCACCCCAAACCATAGCTCCAACAGTGTGATGAACATGTCTTTCAACAAAAAACTGTGGATTCCTCCTTTCACCACGTCGCCTTCTAACCCTGGCACGACCATCGTGCATGCCTAAACAAAATCGAAACTCGTCACTAAAGACAATACTGTTCCATTCCTGATCCCAGAGTGACCGTTGTCTGCACCACTCAAGGCGATTATGTCGGTGTTCTCGAGTTAAAGGGAGGACCCAGTGTGGCCGGTATGAAAACAAGCCAAAACTTCTCATTCGTCGGTAAACACTTCGCATGCCAATAGGTCTTCCGTGTTCTGCAAACCATTCATTTGCAATGGACCTGGTAGTGGAGAAACGGTCCCTTAAGGCCAATAATCTTAGGCGGCGATCTTCACGGTCTGTTGTTCTACGGCGGCGTCCAGTGCCCCTTGCTCTTTGCGTACGGCCTTCTCGAAGCCATGCCTGACAACACCTAACCACAGTGTCTACACTTCTTTGCACTCCAACTGCAATTGCCCGAAAAGAAAGTCCAGCTTCCCGAAGTCCCACTATACGGCCCCTATCAAACTCACGAAATCGTACAGGTCTCCGTACTCTAGGCATCGTAACCGATCGTAAAGAATGTCAAGAACCAAAATCCGCCAACGTTGATTCTTTACTGCGGCTGAAATATTCATTTTTAGAGCGTTAGTGACTTAAAAAAAAGCAGTATAAAAACCGGAATGTCCAACTGATAAGGCTGAAAATTTTTTCACTTGTTATTTACAGTAAGATAAATACATTCACCAACTTTTATTAAAATAAAACCATTTAAACTGGGTGTTCGGATTTATATGTCACTTGTATATTATGCAACTAGCAGTACTATGCGTTATTCTTGTATTTTCTTTTATTTTTGGTTCCAAATTAAATGAGCTCTTTTGTTCGATGTCTCGGCGGGATTAAAAGCATCTTAGACCCAGTTGGATATTCATGCTGGTGTTCGATGACTTCAAATTCGCGCTTATTTTTGAAAACAAACAAAGCCAACTCATAAATGTAAATACCTATAACAGTCAACATCTTTAGTGTTCTAAAGGAATCTCAGGATTGGCGCCAACCAAGGTTATCAATAATTCTAATGGCATATTTTTGCAGCAGGAGAACTCTTACGGTTAGTGAACTACTTCCCCAATTGAGAATACCGTAAAGGATATGGCAGTTGACAGTGGCATAGTATAAAGTTTTCAAAATTCGTTTGCTAAGAATTTCAAGCCATAACAACTCCTTCGCAATCTATTGCACAAATACTCAACGTGGAACCCCCACGACATTCGATAATCAAGTATCATCGCCAGCATGCTAACTGAATTAGATGATAGAATAGCTCTGTTAGTATGATCAAAAATGTTGAAATCTTGTTCATCTTTTGATGCGAATCTCACAATGCTGGTCTTCTCTGTGTTTACTCGGAGGAAGTTAGTTTCAGACCATTTAATGATTTTGTTGTATGCTCTCTCAATCATTTCCCGCAGCTCGGTGATGTTTGGACTGGTAACCAAGATATTGGTGTCATCTGCATATGCCACAACCTTCAGATATCATCCATGGACGTTATTCGCCCTCTCTTCCCTGGTCGCCTTATTTCCAGGTTTGGCGATGTTCATTGGCCTCCTCGGTCCCCAGATTTATCCATATGCGATTTTTTTTTATGGGGACAACTCAAGGCTAGAGCATACGCGAACAAGCCCCGAACTCTGGACGAATTGAAGGGCGAAATTCGCGTGGAAGTCGCCCAAGTTGAGAGAGCGATGTTGGAGAGAGTCTAAGTAAAAATTAACTATTTTATGATTTTTTTAAAACCGTCCATCCTCTCTGCCGCACCCTGTATAACAAGAACTGTATTTATATATTGTCAGCTGACGATCCTACTTGCCTTTAGAGTTTATGTCACTCTACACAAATCACAAAAATTAAGGAATCAAATACACGCTGTTTTTGACGCCCTAATACTGGCACGTTGCATATATGATATAAAACCTGATTAGCTAGAAAACTGAAGTTCCAAACTTGACAACAATACAAAACCCAACAAATAAAAATCATAATAATATATTAATGTGGTTTCATAACAAACTAAAAATCGTATCTACACTTTTAACATCTAGTTTCAAATCTGATCTATAAGTTTGAAGTTTTGATGTTGCGGGTCTGGTATAACGTTGAAATACTTTTTGTAAAAGTCAACACCTTTCCTGTGGCCGTGGCACCTTTGCACCCAAGAGTGATCCCAGTTCAAGTCGGCCTTCTCGCATGTTATCCTGACTCGACCTGAGGTTATGGCGAAGATTGTGCCATTCTTTCCTAAGCCAGCCTGAAAAAATGAATTAACTATCAAAAATTGAAAACATCGTTCCTTCCGAAATGCTCAAATTTTGCAAGGCTACATGATAAACGTGGAGAGTGAGAAGATACCTACATTGAGACCAGGATGGAACCTGAGTGTTCTTTGTAAAACCAAAATAGTTCCAGATGGCACCCACCATCCGTCTTGGACCTTCCAGCCTCTGTGTTTAGGCCTCACTTTTGTACTTGTATTTTGCGTACTACCTCCTGTCTTTTTACTTGCATATCTTACGGTATCTGAAATAGGAATTGCTACTGAATAGCAGGGTCAATAAAACGATTTGTGCTTACTTTGTAACCATTGTGAGCCTGCGAGAAAATTATTTCTTAGTAAGTTAAAATTCATTCTTGTTTAACGTTTTTTTTTTCCTAATTAAAATTATGACATCTGACATCTGTGAAACTGAAATGTAAACACGTGTGAATCACAAAACATATACATTAATTTAACCATGAAACATTAATTTCAGGCAGTGTTGCCAGAGCGAAGTTTAAAATATCCGTCACACGTATCGCAAAATTCCGCTACGTGCCGCTACGGTCTAAAAATTTAAGGGGGGGGGAGGCTTAAAATAAACAACAAATATATTTTTTACATATTTACTTTTTTTAAACACTGTCTAAAAACACTACTAAAAATAGAAACAGTAACATAATATAATTGCAATTTTTCGTAAAAACATAAAAAGTATACCTCTAAAAAAACAAAACTGGCTTTGGTTTAGAATTAGGAACTAATAAAAAAATAGAAACTATCACCAATATCTTAATCTTAATAGAAAAAAAAAACAAAAAATAAGGACAAAGAAGAAGCGGAAACGTGGAAATGCCTACGTTTGCTTATTTTATTCACAGTCAGAATCAGAAATTACTTCTTCTTCAGCTTGTGCTTCCTTATTTACATTATATAAATTCTTTTTATATTTGTTTAAATGATTCTCATTAAAACTATATAATAAACAGCACTGTTTTTTTATTCTAAGTATAATTTAATTGTAAGTAGTGCAGACAAAGTTGATGGTATTATTTTATTTCTTTTTTTTGTTTTGTAATCAAGCATATAAGATAAAGTTCGCTCAACATCAGCGTTTCCATGAGGCAATGTTAAAATGATTAGAGCCAGTTTACCTATATTGCGAAATAAATATCCGTCATTAAAATTTTTGAGGTCGTTTACAAACGACCAAAATTCAATGACATTACTTTTTGTTTTTAAAATTTCCTCTTTCTCACTATCACTAAAATAAATACATATTTTCTTTAGTTCCAAAATTGCCTTTTCGGTTTCAATATGAAGGGAATTTTTTTTTAAAACGGCGTCATGAAAGGTATCACTTATAATAAGACGATTGTTCATCACATCAACCGGTGAGAGAAACTTTAGCTCTGAAAAGAAGTTGTCTTTGATAGGAAATCTTTTAAGGGACTCTTCTACCGATTTTTGGTAAAATGTGACACATTAATTTAAATTGTTCGATTGCGGTGTTATTGCAGTGTTTTATTGCATCCATTGTATGCGGACCAACATTCACTTGTTCCATTGGTAATAAGTAGTGGGGATCATTAGGATCTGGATTATATAATTTCTCATTTTTTAAATATTCTGGTCGCATAAAGTTTGTACATAAATGACGTACAAATCGCTCACTCTCTATTGATATGATATTGAGCATAACTTTCTCTGTTGAAAGAGAGCATTAAATTGGTTAAAAATGGGCAACACGAATTTAAAAAACATTAAATACGCCTTAACAAATGGATTCTGTAACTCATTAAGTATTACATTTGCTACAGGATTTTTGTCTTCAATGGAAGCTAATCTAAATAGGCTAAGCAAAATGTGCCACTGATCCAAAACTCTATCAACACATTTTTATAAAGCAAGCCACCTTGTTTTACTAGGTCTTAAAATTTTTAATTTTGACTTTTTGAAATATTCCTGTAATTCTTCAAGAACACACTGCCTTTTTGGGCTTCTCGAGAAGTAAGAATATAAGTTTTGTAAAAGAGCTTCAACGTTGCTTGGAATCTTTTCAGCTGCCGCCACCGCCACTAAATGAGCAGAGTGGCAAGTGCAGCCATTGACAATTATATTAGGATTATATTTTAAAAGATAAGTTTTGAAAGATTCGTTATTGCTCATCATAACACTAGCGTTGTCGGAACAGTATCCAACAATATTGGTAATTTTTACTTGATTGGATATACCGCATTTTTTAAAAAGAGAATATAAACCTTTGGCGGTACCTTCATCTGCGTTTATTTTAATTATATCTAATAAATGGGTTTTAATTGAATTTTTATGAATATACCTTACAAGAATGCATAGTAGTCTTGTATTGCTCAGATCTGTACTCTCATCCAATAAAATAGAAAATGGTTTATTTTCCAATTCTGAAATTATTTCGTCTTTAATAACAGGAGCCAGCACATTTTTAATTATACTTATGCATTTGGATCTTTTTAATTTAAGTGAGCTAGAGAGATCTGGGTCTTTAAAACATAATTGACTAACTCCTGTTATATGATCAACAGTTCTAAAACTTATATAATGACTTTCAACTAAAAGATTATATCTTAAGCAAGCAAATATTTGCCGTTTTTTAGCACCCATTATATGATTACAAGCTTTACATTTTGCTTTCAACTTGTAATTTTCAATAGGTCCCAACCAGCCTTTAAATAACGGATCTTCTAGCCATGATGAAGTAAACATTTGTTTTCGTGTCTTTTTCTTAACAGGTTGCTCTGGTTCTTGGTTATCCTGAGATTCGCAAGTCGAATTATCAGGCTCAGACCTGATTCCACTAGATTCCGCTCTTCTATTTTGTCTGTATTCAGGTTCGGGATGCTCCGAGTCCGACACAAGTGGATGGTACGGCCACGTTTGGTTTTACCGTTTGTTTTTTAGAAGGATTTTAATCAAAAAAATCGTTAATGGTCTGCTGTCGCCTTTCCATTATTCCTATTTTCCAGAAGAAAAAGCGTTAAAAACAAATTTCGCGGCTAAGATTTATTTCTGGATCAAACTATATGTTAGATATTTAAGCAGTTTTCTTACTTACCAGTAGATTTAATATTAAAATCTGCAGCAAATGATATATCAATAAAATGATCAACACAAAAATAAGAACACTAATATAAACGAAACTAAACAGTATATACGCAGAGCTGAAAAATACAATACAAAGCGAGAAACCTAATATTATGTCTGCCTGCTGAGACCTGTTAGAAACGATTAGTATTGAAAGCAGTACGTACGCCATCTGTTATTGAAAAAAAAAGCAAGTGGAATAATTCTCTTCTCTGTTCGTAGATGGCTCAAGCGGCACCAATTTTATTATTAATGTGATAATAAATCAGACTCTAGCCACTGCCTATTTAGGATTTAGAACGTTATTAACGTTAAAACAGTGAAATAAATATGATAGTTTTGTATGTAATAAATTCCGCTACATGTTGGGCTAATTTGCTCTACCGCCGCTACGCCGCTCTTCTCAAAATAATCCGCTACAAATAGCGGAATTCCGCTACGTATGGCAACACTGAATCGAATCCCAAGGCGCCAGGAATTTAGAGTTTCCTGTTCGCTGATTTACGTCAAATGTCAATCTAATCTGTCAAGTGGCTTCTATATTCTATGCGTTTTTTGATGCTCTCCACTTTTTCGTATTTGTTTGACTTTTCTAACCTATTTTTTAAAATTCAAAACTTGGCAATGTTTTCTTGTTTTTAAAATGATTTCTCTAGAGAATAAACTGTGTTAGTGTTAGTTCTGTAAGGTTAACCGTGTTTCCGTTTCTTTTACTGGTGCGTAGTAGTAAAAAAGGAAAATGCCGAAGGAGCAGTATCGAGAGACTGATGTGGCGAGAAAAATGTGAGTTACAAAATTGTTGTTTAAAGTTTGACTCTCAATCTAACGTTGTTTCCCTTAGCTCCCACATCAGCTTCGGTGTGGAAAGCGCTGAAAGCATGCAACAGCAATCCCATATCCATGTAGTGGCTAAAAATCTGTACAACCAAGACATAGAGCGAACCCCCATACCGTATGGTGTCCTAGACAAACGACTGGTAAGGTTTTATGGAAATATACTTATTCTCCTATTCATTTTCGATGTGATTGTAGGGTACAAATTCCAAAGAATCCCCGTGCCAAACCTGCGGCAAAGGCATAAACGAATGTGTCGGTCATTTTGGTTACATAGACCTCGAACTGCCAGTCTTCCATGTCGGCTACTTCAGAAGCATCATCACCATTCTTCAAACGATTTGCAAAGATTGCGCTTGTGTTATGATGTCCGAAGATGATAAACAATCGTTTCGCATCAGATTATCCAATCCTAACCTCAGCTACATGACTAAGAAAGCCATTAGAAAAAAGATCGTTGATAAATGTAAGAAGGTTCAAAAGTGTCCGCACTGTAAAGAACTCAATGGTACTGTAAAGAAGATGACTGGTGGCAAAGGCAGTACTGGCAATACACTTTTAAAAATCGTTCATGAGAAACATCATATCAAAGACAAAGATGTAAGTGTTACAATTTTTTTATATGTACGTGCATTTACAGTATAAGATTTATATTATATATTTTTTCAAAATTGTTTGATTAAGATTCTTTTAAAAGACTACTAATATCTGTATATTTAGAAAACAAAATTTGCATCTCTAAGAATTTTCACTGGCCATGAAATATTCCTTTAATTTTCTTTAAAGATCTTTAAATTACAAATAGACTTTATAATCATTATTTAGTTTATTAAATTCAAGTAAACCTTTCTGAAATATTGACTTGCTGGTTATATTACTATTGCAATTTTATAAATGAAAATCTATATTTCCTCTCGTATACTAATTATGGTAATGATTGTCCAATTGTAGTGTTCTAAATGTTGTGGCAAAAGATGATCTTTTATTTCAAATATGAAAATAAGAACCAAACATAATACAGCAGACGCTCGATAATGTAAACTAATTTAATCCAAGTGTGGTTCACATTATCGAAATGTTTACATTAGCGAACATGATTTATATAATATTTGATTTATTTATTTATTTATTTATTTATACATTATTGCCCAACAGAACTATTCCAATTAAAGGACAATATCATGGTAACTTTACTTATAATTCATACATGTAATGTATACCTAAAACTAATTTAAAAAAATAGAACTAGCTATTATAATAGTACCTGAAATTCGACACGATCTTACTGATACAATCAAAATTAATGTCAGAACTGTCTGCTATGGAATTATAATTGTTGCATATAGAATGTAGCGGAGAATAAAATAATACATTTGTACGGGAGGTACTGCAGTAGAAAGTTAGAGTTCTTCTCGTATTTAACCGTGGAATATAGAAATTTAACCTCTGGAGAAGTTCTGGTGCATCCACTCTGTCGTGCAAAAGCTTATGAAGGAATGATAGGCCGCCAGTGGAACGTCTTAACTGTAGAGACTCTAGTTCAAAACGACGCAGCAGAACAAATTGAGAGACCCCCCTTTCTGGATATGTGCCATCGATTTTATAAACACAGAATTTAAGAAATTTCCTCTGCACATTTTCTAAGATGCTTATATAATACGCATAGAAAGGGTTCCATATCAAACAGGCATACTCAAGTATTATTAAAAGAAACGTTTAATACATACTATTTATAACAAAATAAACAAATATTCTAACAGCGATAAGTATTTTTTTAATTAGAAAAAAAATAATTAACAATTTTTGTCTGCGTAAATTTGCGCATAGCATTGTCTTCCAATGCCTGCGCCCGTAATTTAGGAAGATCTAAAATATCCGTGTATGAAACTTCTTTTCTTTCAGCCCAATCTAAAGCTTGGTTAAAAACTTGTATAGCTTGCGCGTCAGTCACTACACTTCTGACTTCAATGGGATCGTTCTCATCATCCTCACTGTCCATATCCTCCTCCTTATCAGCATCATTCGTCTTCTTATCTTCGTTCCATAAATTAATATCAGCAGGAGTACAAACAATGTTGGGATTCACTGATTTCAATAAATCAACAACATCCAATGACACACTAATGACATTATCATTATTGGATCGCAAACGTTCTCTAATTACGCTTAAGGGGACATCGTCTTCTTCATCATCTCCATTATTGGTACAAACGAGATTGTTCCAACATTTTTGAATAGTTTGCTGGTTAAGTTCATTCCAGGCCATATGTAAATCTAAAACAGCTTCTCGTAATGTTACTTTTTTTAAAGCCTCAGATAAGTTTTCAGGATTCTTTGATAAGACAGACGAAAGTAGAAGCTTCCTATAGTATAGTTTGGTGAGTCTTATTATATTCTGGTCCATCGGTTGTATTAACGGTGTTACGTTGGGCGGCATGTACATGACGAAAATTGACCCATCCCTGCTCCTCAGTTGTTGCTCAGGAGGATGACATGGTGCATTATCCAATAGTAACAACGCTTTTATTGGAAGCTTCTGTTGTTTTAGGAAACCTTTTACCTACAAATTGAAAACACATCTTCAAATTATGAATAGAGCATTTGTGATGATTGATTGTCATACCTGAGGGACAAACCACCTGTGGAACCATTTCAGGAATATACTGCTAGTCATCCAAGCGGTTTTTTGAACAGTCATAATCAACAGGGACATTTTTAAATGAGCGCGGATTTTTTGCTTTCCCAATTACCAGTGGCTTTATTTTGTGTGAACCATTAGCATTAGTGCAAGCTAGAAACGTAATTCGTTGTTTCTCCGGCTTTCTTCCCGGGGCAGATTTTTCAAATGATGCAGCATAGGTTTTCTCTGGTGACATTTTCCAATAAAGGCCACTTTCATCTGCGTTGTAAATTTGTTCCATTCTTAAATCTAGCTCGGTAATTGTTTTCATCAATTTTTCTTTGAATGGTTGCACTAATTGTGGTTGTGCCGATAATTTTTCACCAGATATAGACAGCAGTCGAATTCCATATCTTGTTTTGAATCGTTGTGGCCAGCCATCACTAGCTACGAAATTTTCAGTTTCTTTCAGTTTTTCATTTAACAGTCTCGCTCTCTGTTTAAGTACTTCGCCACTAACTGGGACATGATTTTCCCGTTGTTTTAGAAACCACTTGTACAGGGAATTTTCCATTTTAGGTGCCTTCGCATTTTGTAAAGTTTTTCTATATCCCGGACCTCCAAATGTATTGCACGTTCTTTGTAAAATTTGAGTTAATACGCTTAATTTTACAGATTGTTGCTTTCGATACTCCATATTTTTTTGCTAACTGTGTCACTCCCGCACCTAGTGCAACTTCGTCTATGATTTTCACTTTCTCACTCAAGTTTAAACACTTTCTTTTATGGGATGTGGATGCCATAGTAGTAAAATATATTAACGCGTGCAATGTATTCACTTAAGTTCAAAAGTGAAATACATACGTACGTATAAACGTATCCTAAACGATCATACGACTGACCGAGTTGAATCCCCTACACTCTACATCATAAATCGGGGACTCCCCGACGCCCGACATAAATCATCGAGGCTTCAGCATTTTACCGTCGCGCTGTTTCCGTGCGCCGAGAGTTGTTTACGTTATCGAGCGTACACATTGTGTACGTTATCGCGCGTTCCGTTTGATCCTATAGAACGAAGTTTGTGTTTACATTAGCGCAAGTTTTCATTATCCCGTGTTTACGTTATCGAGCGTCTGCTGTATATTCAACCACTGCAATTCTTGTAACATATTCTTTATTTTGGTGTACTTATTCAATATTATCCTCATAGCTTTATTTTACAAGACTTGTCATTTTGAGAAAACTTATTGGCAGTGAACAAGATAGTAAATAATTGTATTATAAACGATTTTTTTGGAATACATACTAAGACTAAAAGAAGCCTTATAAAAGTAATTTGTTTTTTTTTGCAATTTTTGAAATAATGTTCAGACATACCTAAATATTTAATTGATTCAACATTTTCAGTTATTTCACCATTTATCCAAACTGTGATAGTATTTTCATTTAGATATTTCCCTATTAGCATACATTTTGTTTTAGAAGCATAGAATTTTAGTTTATTTACATTTTACCAATTTATGATTTTTGCCAATTCAGAATTTAGCATTTTTAAAGCAGTGTCTATATTTTCGTCTGATATGTACATTAATGTATCATCTGCAAATATCTGAATTTTACAATAATCTAAAATATTACAGATGTCATGAATGTATAACTAAATAGTAGTGGACCTAGCTTACTACCTTGTGGTACACCAACAGAAATATTTTTTGACCTTGATAATATATACTAAGTGACATATACATCCGAACACCCAGTTTAAATGGTTTTATTTTAATAAAATTTTGTATAAGTACTTAATGAAGCATAATAAGTAAATGATAAAAATTTCAAAATGATTGCACTGCTTTAAAGCCCTTTGACCGTTTTTTTTTGACTTCTCACCATTAAGTAGTTTTATAGAATTTTGAATATAGATCCTTTGAATACATAGTGATGCACTTTTATAAGAAATGTATCCCTGTCAGTAGTATCAAATGCCCTTTGAATTCCAAAAGCACTGTCACTGTATGTTTTCTGTTGTGCATACATTTCCTCCAGTCCTCTAAAACTATTTGTATTGCTGTTTCAGTTGAGTGTTTCTTCCTGAATCCAGCTTGAAATTTGATTAAAATTTCATTTCCCTTAATAAATTCGATTATCTGTTCATAAATAATCTCTTCAAAGACCACAGAATTCTCAACTTTCAAAACAGGAGCTATGGTAGAACACTTCAGTTTTTTTGGAAATTCACCATATTTTAAACAGTAATTTATCAGGATTAATATTAGCACCCTTTTAGACAATATCTTTCTCTCATTTTGATTTGATTTCAATTTTGATATAGTCTTCTTGAGATGATTAATGTTTATTGTTTCAAACTCACTGAATGATGCATTATAATTTGATCTAGTGCGCCATTGATCGGGATCCCCGTCAATAATTGATCTTTCAAAGTCATTGACACTTTCTAAGAAATAGGTATTCATCCGATCTATTAGCTTTTCATTTGTCATTACGCTATCGTCGAACTCCATTTTAGATAATGTATTTTTTCTAATACCAGGAACAATGTTTTTCAACGTTTTCCACACCTGTTTGCTATTATTTATTTATTTATTTAAACTCTTACAAACACATTTGAATGTAGTTACATGTAGGAGTGCTTACTGGCTAGTAGAGAAAAACAGGGAATACACAAAAACTTATAACTAAAAAATATCGACAGAAAAACTATAAAAATTAACTAACAAATAAAATGAGATAAGGATGTTTTACTTAAATTTAAAATCAGTCTTAATTTGTCTCAAAGTAATCAAAAGGAGATCCACATCACAATTTTGTATATAACTATACTAAGTGACATATAAATCCGAACACCCAGTTTAAATGGTTTTATTTTAATAAAATTTTGTATAAGTACTTAATGAAGCATAATAAGTAAATGAGAAAAATTTCAAAATGATTGCACTGCTTTAAAGTCCTCCTCTCAAAGTGCTTCTAGAGTCTGAGGAGGACGTTGCAAATTGAGCAATCTCCATCATATCCCACACGTGCTCAATTGGGGATAAGTCGGGAGATCTTGGTGGCCATGGTAACAATGTGACATCATTATGTTGAAAGAAGTAGGGTAAAAGATGGGGTTCTAGAACTTCGTGGATATAACGCTGCGCGTTCATGTTACCTCTGATGAAGATTAAAGGTGACCTGGAACCATAAGCTATAGCACCCCAAACCATAACTCCAACAGTGTGATGAACATGTCTTTCAACAAAAAACTGTGGATTCCTCTTTTCACCACGTCGCCTTCTAACCCTGGCACGACCATCGTGCATGCCTAAACAAAATCGAGACTCGTCACTAAAGACAATACTGTTCCAATCCTGATCCCAGAGTGACCGCTGTCTGCACCACTATAGGCGATTACGTCGGTGTTCTCGAGTTAAGGGGGGGACCCAGTGTGGCTGGTATGAAAACAAGCCAAAACTTCTCATTCGTCGGTAAACACTTCGCATGCCAATAGGTCTTCCGTGTTCTGCAAACCATTCATTTGCAATGGACCTGGTAGTGGAGAAACGGTCCCTTAAGGCCAATAATCTTAGGCGGCGATCTTCACGGTCTGTTGTTCTACGGCGGCGTCCAGTGCCCCTTGCTCTTTGTGTACGGCCTTCTCGAAGCCATGCCTGACAACACCTAACCACAGTGTCTACACTTCTTTGCACTCTAACTGCAATTGCCCGAAAAGAAAGTCCAGCTTCCCGAAGTCCCACTATACGGCCCCTATCAAACTCACTAAGTTGACAAAATCGTACAGGTCTCCGTACTCTAGGCATCGTAACCGATCGTAAAGGATGTCAAGAACCAAAATCCGCCAACGTTGATTCTTTACTGCGGCCGAAATATTCATTTTTAGAGCGTTAGTGAATTAAAAAAAAAGCAGTATAAAAACCGGAATGTCCAACTGATAAGGCTGAAAATTTGTTCACTTGTTATTTACAGTAAGATAAATACATTCACCAACTTTTATTAAAATAAAACCATTTAAACTGGGTGTTCGGATTTATATGTCACTTAGTATACTTAATATTAGTAATGTCTTCCACTTGTTAGCATCAAATATATGCTCAACTTCAAAACATATCAGTGAACAGTCACTGATTTTACGAGTATGCACCTTCAATTTAATTAATTTCTTGATTGATTTGTAATCCTGGTGCAATCATAGACTTTTTGCCATAAAAACTGAGTACACCAGAATCGACAACCACTGCTAGATTGAAAGCGGCAATCGGTCTGTTGGAATAGTATCCCATTTCGCATTTGACTGCTGGGTCACCACTTTGGCTGCTAGGTGCTGCTGTTTCTGAGGTTTACTCGTCAGAATCGATGACATCTAGCGGCCAGTGTTGTGATCTGACTGTCAAAAGTGGACTGGGAAACAGTTCCAACAGATAGCTTGACGTTTTCATCTCGCAGTGGTTGTCGATTCAACACTTTGTGCTGTCTAATTTTGATAGCCGTTATATCTTGGATTGAGGATACTTCCTCAGCCTGGACTATACTGATGAGTTACCAAATAGCACAAAACATTACTAATATATTTTTATTTCGAAAAATGTGTACCCAGACCTAAATCTGTAATACACATAGTTCCCTGTGAACTATAAAAAACAGCGGCATTTTTAATTCAGATGGATATTTTTTGTATAGATAATTCTGGAGAATCAGCTGAAGGAATTTAGTTCTGCAATCAAAAGCTATCCAGACCTTCAGTCAGCACTTGGCAGTAACATACCACAAATTCTCACGCCTATAGATGTGCTAAAGCTATTTGAAAGAATCCCTGAAAATGACATCATTCTGCTTGCCATGGACCCGAAGAGGTAAGTTGGTAGAATAATGTATAATATCTATGAACACGTTTTTGTTTTTGATTTTAGATCTCAGCCTAAAGACTTATTATTGACCAGAATGTTGGTTCCTCCAGTTTCAATAAGGCCTTCGGTTGTTTCAGATCTCAAAGTTGGAACGTAAGTATATTAAATTTGCCTGCATCTCAAACTAAAACTATATACAGGGTGGTCAACTAAGAATGCGAGGTACTGTATTAGGAACCTATTTATCGTAGAGGCTTGCGGCAAAATAAAACTTATTACTAAAACAATCAAGAGAAAAACCTGGAAGATGTATTTTCAAGTTTTTGAAATGGCTGCTGGGGGGTAACTGCAATCTTGAATTTTTTAAAGTGATTTTTCTGTGAATTCCGCTATATTGACCTAGCAAAACAATACCTGATCTTTAAAGTCGAGGTTAATGTGAACTTTTTTTTGTTTGACAATTTTTGTTGTATATCTAAAAATAAAGTGGTGGGGTATTTAAGTGTTTCCGTAATGAAATGGCTGAGCCGATCCTGACAAACTTGGGCTAGTTGAAAAGAGCTATTCTTAGGCTACAAATGTTATAATATTTGAAGTTTTGTTAGTTTCACATGTGGCCGCTAGAAGGCTTTTTTCGATATTCCGACAGAAATGGTTAATTTTCTCAAATACATTAAATGCATTGGTATAATTTTTAATTTATGAAAAGGTAGCTAAATGATGTCTAAACAAGTTCGCGAAAACCGAATTGCAATATATTGTTCCTAACTTAAAATTTGGGCCAAAAAATGTGCATTCCGGAATTTTAAATGGTAAAATAATCGGTCCGTTTGAGTTCCCAGAGACTTTGACTGCTAAAGTTTATTTGGATTTTTTGAAAAATCATGTACAAAATTTATTGGTGGTCGTGCCACTGAGTATTTACAGGACATGTGGTTTCAGCATGATGGCTGCCCAGTGCACTATGCACTCTCAGTGAGAGAGTATCTCGATCAAAACTTTCCAGGCAGATGGATAAGGCGGTCTGGTACAATACCGTGGCCAGCCCGATCACCTGATTTGAATCCTTTAAATTTTTTTACTGGGGAACTGTAAAAGAAAAAGTGTATTTCAACCCGATTCAAAATGTAGCTGAGCTACGGCAAAGACTATTGGAAGCAGCTGAGTTTGTTAATAACCGTGGATTCGCTCGTTTAATAACCCGATCTTTTTTAAGAAGATGTCGAGCGTGTATTGCGGCTGAAGGAAAACAGTTTGAGCATTTGCTGTAAAGGTAAATCATCATCAGCAGCATTTTGACGCCCACTGTTGTGCAAACAGTTATCCTTAAGGGTCCTTGTGCGTTTTCATAATCGCTGTTTAATTAGGAAATTTTGAAAAATTTTCATCAGTTTTTCTTCAATTAAAAATTGTGCATAAGTTAACGAGTAATCTTCTAAGTGTTATACCATTTTGGAATCCTTATTAAATGCGCCAACTTTTAAGGTTACTTGCCTAACTCTCGTAGTACATTTTTTTCCAGTACAGCCAGTTAAAGTTGAGCAAAGTTTTACTTTGGAATACTTGGTTGGGAAATAAGTGGCAATTTTTCCTGAACGAGAAAAGTTGGCAGTAAGGTTGAGATACCAGTTTGAAGATGCATTATTACCTCTACACGCGTGACCGTAACCGTCGGTTGAAGGTTGCATACTGACCTGACACACTGACCCCGACCCAGTTCTGCCGTCGGGTTGAGACCTTGTACTAATCGGTGATGTCCCGGGTCGCGGCTACAGGACGGTATTCAGATATTTTTGATGTTGCAGAGTCCTTTATCTCGGTTCCCTTAAGACATTGGTGTATATGGTACTGAGAAAAATTGCTTATGTTTACAAGATCTACACGTCGTGTAAAGGAAACCCCAACTTTGCGGACACCCTGTATATTCACTGATGGGCGAAAAATGGCTCTTATCAGCCCACCTCCTTTCTGTCCAGCGAGTCTTTTTCAAGTTTGGAAACAAAAAGAAGAAGATACGGTTTAAGGGGTAGTAGTTTGTAACCTAATTCGACCAATTTGGCGTGGCGATGGCGGTGGTGTGAGCCGAGGCGTTGTCATGGTGGAAGATAACTTTTTCCTTCGCCAAACGGAGTCGTTTTTCTGCAATTCGGCGTCGAATCGGCCCAATAATTCGGCATAGTAGAACCCTGTGACCATTTTGCCCTTCTCCAGGTAGTCGATGTAGATGACACCTTGTGAATCCTAAAAAGGGGGGCCATCATCTTTCCGGCCGATAGGACAGTCTTCGCCTTCTCCGGAGCACGTTCGCTGTGTGAAGTATGTCTGTTTTGACTGTTCCTTGGTCTCTGGTGTATACCAGTGGATCCATGTTTCGTCCATGGATACGAAACGACGCAGAAACTCCTTCGGATTGCGCTTAAACGGCGCGAAGCACTGCTGTAATGTGGCCTCCTGGTTGTGCTTATCGTCCGGAGTGTGCAAACGCTGCTTCCATCGCGCATACAGTTTTCTCATGCCCAATATTTCAAGCAGGATATGACCTATGCGGTCTTTTGAGATGCCTATTGCCTCACCTCTCTCGAGCACCTTCAGTGGGCGGTCTGCCGATAAGAGATCGTAGATTTTTGCCACGTGGGACCTCGGTTGGCCGCGTGGGTCAGAGTGTCGTGCTACTGATCAGCCGGCCGGCCGGGCCGCGAGTTCGAATCTCGCCTTCGCCATGGATGTTGTGTGTTTGTTTTAGGCAGCAGCGGTGGCCGCAGTAGTAGACTCTTCGGTCTCCTGATCAGCCGCCGTGCGCTGTGCGGGTTCGAGTCCCGTCCCAGGAGAAATGTTTCTCTTGGCCATGGATGTTGTGATTGTCCGTAGGTGGTAGATGGTCTCTGACTGTCGAACGCGGAGGTACCACCCGGCGGTTCTCGTAGGCGGAGCCAGAATGTGTGCATGTTGCATGCACACGTGTTCCCTCGCCAGAGTCCGTGTGGCGTCCCCCCTTTCCCATGTATCCCCCATAGCCCCACGGTACCCAATGGGTGCTTAGGCCTTAGGCCTTCGTGGTAGTTGGAGTATAAAAAAAAAAAAAAAAAAAAAAAATTCATCATTACATTGTAAAAATAAAATCCAAAAAAAGTTAATATTTGTAGTAACAGGAGTTGACAGACTGTCGTAGGTTGTGAAATTTCTATATCTTTTTCAAAGACCTATAATTTTCAAAACACATACATAAAGTTTTTTTAAATATTTTTCTGATAGCTGTTATGACTTTGCCTATCACCCGGTTTCGGCTTGACGTCGACTTCTGGGACACCCTGTATAGTATTCATAGTTAATTGCCTTAATTGTTATGAGAAAATATCCCGGAATTTCTTTGGGTAGAATGCAATGTATTGAATAAGCACACTCTTATAACTTAAACTCGAGCTTTCGATGGTCTATGCCATCATCGTCTGGAGCTGGAAACAGTTTTTGAAAAATAGCAGCATTATAATCAATTAGGTGGAAAAAGTGTAATTACTTACTAAGTCGGCGAGATTGATGCTGAAATTGTTCGTAAACGACAGTGAAGGGAATAGTCGACGAATAAAAAACTGGACCGATGAGGTTCGATTAGGACGGAATTATTTTATTAATAAATGGCAAATCAGAGCTATGTTTTTTTTAACTTTCTTAAAAACACTTTTTCCTCCTAATTGTTTATTGTTGCAATTTTTCAAAAATTGTTTCCAGCTCCAGACGATGATGGCATAAACCATCGAAAGCTCGAGTTTAAGTTATAAGAGTGGGGTGGCGCATCGAAAACGAAACAGACGCATTTACTGGCAGCTCAGTTTTTTTTTTGGAAAAACGCTCAGACCCGTCGATTTTGTTTTCGAGGGGGACACAAGTTTGACAAAAAAATCACGTTAACACGTGCAGCCGCCTGAGCGGGGGTGACACCAACCCTAAAATCTTAAATGGAAAGGGGGGGTTGAGTAATACCTTATTTTAAAAGTCTTTCAATTCCTTTTATAATGATGTAAAATACGTGAGCTTCAGTTCAGTAGTTTTGAAGATTTATTGATTTAAAGCTTAAAGTAGACTTTAATAGGTACATCAGATTAGTTTAGTTTAGCTACTTGTCCATGAAAAAAAAATCATAATAAAGCATTTAATTTTTTTGAGAAAATTAACCATTTCTGTCGGAATATCGAAAAAAGCTCTAACTGCCACATGTGAAACTAACAAAACTTCAAATACTCGTATTATAACATTTGTAGCCCAAGAATAGATCTTTTCAACTAGCCCAAGTTTGTTGAAATCGGCACAGCCGTTTCGAAGATACAGGGTGTTATTTACGGATTTGAATACCTCCACCTCTTTATTTTCACAGATACAGCAAAAATTGTCAAACAAAAAAGTTCGCATTATCCTCGACTTCAAAGATCAGGTATTTTTTTGTTAGATTAATTTTGCGGAATTCACAGAAACATCACTTGTTTAGATTCAAGCTTGCAATTACACCCCCTAGCGGCCATTTCAGAATCTTGAAAATATTTTCCAAATTTTTCTCTTGGCCGTTTTAGTAATAACTTGTTTGCCGCAAGCCTCTACAATGGATAAAATCCCAGGCCACCCTGCACATAGTTACATTTGGAACAAAGTCGTTTTGTGTTATCATCCAAAAATCACCAAATCAGTTTTTTGCTAAACTAACCCAAGATTATTGTGATCTAAACTCCACAGAACTGAAGATGATTTAACAATGAAGCAGTCTGAAATAATTTTCATAAATGATGTGATTAAGAAGCACAAACTATCTGGCGCCTCTGTCAACCTGTATCAAGAAGGATGGGACTTTTTACAGTTGCAGTCTGCACTTTACATCAATAGTGAGCTGTCTGGAATTCCACTGTCCATGATGGTAAGAAATATTTTCGAATGGTTCAAGCTTAAGTATCGTAATAAAAAGGTCCAGGCAGGAATACAGGATTTCTTTATACAGGGTGTCCCAGAAGTCGACGTCAAGCCGACACCGGGTGATAGGCAAAGTCATAACAGCTATCAGAAAAATATTTAAAAAAATTTTATGTATGTGTTTTGAAAATTATAGGTAATTGAAAAAGATATAGAAATTTCACACCCTACGGCAGTCTGTCAACTCCTGTTACTACAAATATTAACTTTTTTTGGATTTTATTTTTACAATGTAATGATGAATAATGCATCTTCAAACTGGTGTCTCAACCTTACTGCCAACTTTTCTCGTTCAGGAAAAATTGCCACTTATTTCCCAACCAAGTATTCCAAAGTAAAAATTTCCTCAACTTTAACTGGCTGTACTGGAAAAAAATGTACTACGAGAGTTTGGCAAGTAACCTTAAAAGTTGGCGCATTTAATAAGGATTCCAAAATGGTATAACACTTGAAGATTACTCTTTAACTTATGCACAATTTTTATTTGAAGAAAAACTGATGGAAATTTTTCAAAATTTCCTAATTAAACAGCGATTATGAAAACGCACAAGGACCCTTAAGGATAACTGTTTGCACAACAGTGGGCATCAAAATGCTGCTGATGATGATTTACCTTTACAGCAAATGCTCAAACTGTTTTCCTTCAGCCGCAATACACGCTCGACATCTTCTTAAAAAAGATCGGGTTATTAAACGAGCGAATCCACGGTTATTAACAAACTCAGCTGCTCCCAATAGTCTTTGCCGTAGCTCAGCTACATTTTGAATCGGCTTGAAATACACGTTTTCTTTTACAGTTCCCCAGTAAAAAAAATCTAACGGATTCAAATCTGGTGACCGGGCTGGCCACGGTATTGTACCAGACCGCCCTATCCATCTGCCTGGAAAGTTTTGATCGAGATACTCTCTCACTGAGAGTGCATAGTGCGCTGGGCAGCCATCATGCTGAAACCACATGTCCCTGTAAATACTCAGTGGCACGTCCTCCAATAAATTTTGTAAATGATTTTGCAAAAAACCTAAATAAACCTCAGCAGTCAAAGTCTCTGGGAACTCAAACGGGCCGATTATTTTACCATTTAAAATTCCTGTCCAATGGTTTATCTTGAAGCGATATTGAGATTTATCTTCTCTCATCAAATGCGGGGTTGCTACGTGCCACTCGTGTAAGTTATGCAGGTTCATGTACCCATCTTCCTTAAATGTGGTCTCATCCGACCATAAAATTTTTTCAAAGAACTGTGGATCTTTCCTGTGTCTTTATAACATTTAGCAAGCATTTAGTTATTTGTCTACATTCAGCCATAATCCGCTGAAGAATATCTTAACTGGAATCTGGCTTCATACTAAAAACTTTACTTTTCAAATGCCCTAAAGAAAGTGATCTAAAGGACTAAAGTCCAGAGATCTCGGCGGCCACACGAATTATCGTGGAAGACTATCCATGGATCCAAATAGGAAGAAAAATATGAAGCATAGTAAAATAGATCACGAGACATCACGAAAGCGTTCGATCAGCTGTGACACGCTGCCCTCTTAAGCAAACTTCCATCCTACGGCCTCCCAGAAAAGCTTTGCAGATGGGTGGCTGACTTTATCTCTGGCCGCAAGATATCCGTCGTAATTGACGGATTCTCCTCTTCATCCCACAACGTCAACGCGGGTGTTCCCCAGGGATCGGTCTTGGCTCCAACACTGTTTCTCTTACATATCAACGACCTCCTTTCCTGCACGATCAACCCAATCCACAGCTTCGCTGATGACAAGCCGATCTCTGCCGCTGAGCTGGAAAAAAGAAGACTAGCGACGACTTCTTCTCTGACAAGAGACCTGGAGGCTATCACTGCTTGGGGACGCAACAATCTCGTACAGTTCAATGCTTCCAAAACACAGTACTGTACTTTGACGAACAAAAAGCGTCCTAGCGCTCATACCATTTCGATGGACGGTCGAGTTCTACCAAAGAGCCATTCATTTCGGCTGGTCGGAGTCCAGATCACCGAGGACCTGATCTGGCACGAACACATCTCTTCAATAGCTGCAGCTGCTGGGAAAAAGCTAGGCTATTTGTTTAGGGCTAAGAAGTACTTTTCTCCGCATGACCTTCTCACTCTATACAAGGCCCAGATAAGGCCTAGCCTCGAGTATTGCTCACACATTTGGGGTGCTGCCGCCCCGACTACATTGTCCATGCTCGATGCTGTCCAGAGGAGGGCGGTCCGACTGATCGATGACTCTTCTCTAACAGACAGTCTCGGGACTCTTTCGCACCGGCGGGCCGTCGGCGATCTAGCTCTTTTCTATCGCTACACCAACGGGCTTTGCTCCTCAGAGCTCTCTTCTATGATGCCGCCGCGCGATGTGCCTGCCAGACAGACCCGCCTGACTTCTTCGTCCCATCCTAACCGTGTCAAACTTCGTACATCCAGAACTGGCCGATACGACCGCTCCTTTGTCCCGAGGGTGTCTAGATTGTGGAACAATCTACGGGAGGAAGCTTTTCCCAGTTCTACTAACCTTAGGCAGTTGAAAAATCGTATTAACAAAATTTCTTTGGGATCATCATAGCAGCCGCGCTGTTCCGGCATTTAGGCTTCTGCCTGCGCGGCTGTTTCGATATAAAAAAAAAAAAAATAGATGCGATTTGTCGGATTTCCACCAACATTTTTTTGAATTTGCCCCCCTTTTCTTTTGAGCTAGGTACGCGCTTGAGAATGACAAGTGACAACACTGTCATCCCCCAAAGGTTTTGAATACAGGAAGAAAAGCGCACTTTTGACGTTCCAGAAGGATTACTTTATTCTATTCCGGTACGTCGACCATACGAACGCTAAATTGTTACAAAGTACGCTCGTCTTACAATTCACGAACGCAGCCCTGTAATGTATAGGCCCAACTTTGAGGACACTCTGTATTTTCCTAAAAAAACAAAAGTTTCAAGTTACTTTGATAATCAGTTGCTTTCAACTATTGTTTTTTCCTTAGAATTAAAAAATTGATATTGATTTGCAGCCAAAAAAGCCGGGCCGCGGTCTCGTCCAACGTTTGAAAGGCAAGCAGGGACGATTCAGAGGCAACTTGTCTGGCAAAAGAGTGGACTTCTCGTCACGAACTGTCATCTCGCCTGATCCTAACTTGGAGATAGATCAAGTTGGGGTGCCAAAGCATGTAGCGAAAATACTGACGTTCCCTGAAAAGGTTATACAAGCCAATATAAATAAGATGAGGAAACTAGTGATGAACGGGCCTGACATTTGGCCTGGGGCAAATTATGTACAGCAGAAGGGCGCTTCATTTAAGAAGTTTTTGAAATATGGAAACAGGGAAAAGCTGGCACAGGAATTGAAGGTAAGAAAATTTCTAGTAAGGCATGGTGAAAATATCTCGACCTGACAATGAAAGACTGCGGTTTATATTGAAAAAATGATTTCATTTTTTTACATTATCCCTTTTGACTTCAACACACTTTGATCAACCTTTCTCCTCCTGATCTACAGTCCTCGCAACTTTTCATAATAATAACACTGATCAACAGCCAAAAAATATCCTAAATAAAATCAACAAAATATTACTATTTTTAATGTGCTAAAACCGGAATGAAACTTATTTTTTCAATATTAGTTCAAGTTTTAGAGATACGGTAATTATATGTATTCCTGCTGTGACAGTGTTAATGTACTGTAATTCACAAGAATGCACGTGCTACATTTTTATATTCGGCAAGGAAAGATGATGTAATCGGCATGATTGTGTTACGTTATACATACGTGTACATTATATTGTTTTAACGTATATTAGCCATTTTTTCCTCAGTTGGCTGACAGCGTTCATGCAAGATGTCTCGAAAGTGTGTAAACAATCCAGATCAGTTTTGTTACGTATGTGGTGACATGACTTTTGCGTTTCAGAGACGGTCTATTACTCCATTAATAACAAAGGCATATCAGCTTTATTTCGGTTGTAAACTAGGTGATCAAGACAAACAGTGGGCACCCCACATCTGCTGTAATACATGTGCTTCAAGTCTGAGGAGCTGGTTAAATGGCAAAAACGGTCTATGCGCTTTGCTGTCCCAACGGTTTGGAGAGAGCCTACAAATCATATTAATGATTGTTACTTTTGCATGGTACCTTGTGTTGGACAAGCCACAGGTATGTCCAAAAAAAAAAATTAACTACCCAAACATACCATCTGCGATGAGACCTGTGCCTCACAGTGACGAAAATCCTATTCCAAAACCCCCAGAATCCTACACTTGCGAATCAGAAAACGAATCAAATCATGGCGATCGAGTGATTCGTCAGGAAGAAGATATGCCATCAACGTCAAGAGATCCTGATTTTATACCGAGCACGTCATGCCACCAACCGCACAAAATAACCCAGACAGAATTAAATGATCTTGTAAGAGATTTAGAACTTCCAAAATGTAAGGCAGAGTTACTTGGATCAAGACTGCAGCAGTGGAACTTGTTAGAAGACGATGTTTCGGTATGTGTTTTTCGTAAACGCCACAAAGACTTAGAACCATTTTTCAATATGGAGAATAACTTGGTTTTCTGCAGTAACATTAGCGGCTTAGTGGCGGCTTTAAATATAAACTATAACCCAGAAGAATGGACATTGTTTATAGACAGTTCAACATTGAGTTTAAAGGCAGTGTTATTGCATATTGGAAATATTTTACCATCTCTTCCTGTAGGGTATGCAGTTCACATGAAAGAATCATATGACAATATGAAGTACCTATTTACATGCATAAAATACGATGAGCACCAATGGCATATTTGGGGCGATTTGAAAGTTGTTGCACTTTTACTTGGACTGCAGCTAGGCTACACAAAGTTTTGCTGTTTTTTGTGTGAATGGGACAGTCGGGCAAAGGCACTTCATTAAACCAGACAAAACTGGCCTGTTCGTCAATTCCTAGAGCCAGGTCAAAAAGATGTACAGCATATGCCATTAGTAGATTCGAAAAAAAAATTTATTACCACCACTGCATATCAAGTTGGGCCTAATGAAAAACTTTGTCAAGGCATTAGATACTAAGAGACTAAGACTAAGTGAGGCAAAGGTTAAAGAAGGTATTTTTTTTGGGCCACAGATTCGAAATATTTTGAAAGATACACAGTTTGAAAACACTTTAACAGGTATTGAAAAAACTGCTTGCAATGATTTCCGTCTGGTGCTCACTAATTTCTTGGGAAATAGAAAAGCTGACAACTATAAAACCCTTGTCAAAAATATGCTGTCATCGTATCAAAAGATGGGCTGTAATATGTCTCTTAAGATACATTTCCTACACTCACACCTGGACTTCTTTCCTGACAATTGCGGAGCCGTAAGTGATGAGCACGGCGAACGTTTTCATCAGGATATTTCAACAATGGAAAAAAGGTACCAGGGAATGTGGAATCCTTCCATGCTTGCAGACTACTGACTCTTGGTAGAGATGCTCCAGAAACGATCCATAAAAGAACAGCAAAAAGACAGCGAATATAGTGATTCTTATAAGTATATGAATCTTGTTACTTTTTTAATATATCCTTAAAAATAAAAAGTTTTTTTTCTAAACAGCAACTAATTTTTTTATTTCATTGTCATTTTTGGAATCAACGCCCCAAAATTAACAAAGAAGTGCACTTTTCCCACAAGATACAATTAAAAAACTTAAATTTGTTGTCCAGTGTAATCTTTATTCCAACAGCTTTGCACCAAATCACACCAACATCCAATAATAAACATCAAATTCAATGCTCTTGTGTATAAAAGCTCATATTACAAAATCCATTTTAAACATGAATGAAAAGCATTATTACAGGAAATAAAAACATAATCGTGAATATAATATATATATAATGTATCTAAAAATTACGGCTCTATTTGCAAAAATAAACATTGCTGCTTAAGCATCGCATATGTTTGCTTATAACTGCTTAAAATCACCTGAATTGTATCATTATAGATTTCGCATCTTTGACAATAAGTGCTAAACCTATCACACATCCTTTTAACGGGAGACATGTCCGATATCTTGGTTCTACACCTAGCGCTGTAAAAAGTTGCATTAGAGCGAGTTGATCTCCTTGGCACCACAAAATTTATTTTAGATACTAATTCCGGACAATCAAGTTTATTATTAACCAGACTATGAAGCACTGTAATGTCATTTAATTGACGACAGTACACCAATGTATCAAAATTCGTGACGAATTAGCATATTGTGTGGTGTATATGCCATACACTTTGAAATTGATCTATTCCAGGTTCTTACAATGGATAGATTCAATATCTAAAATTGCATTCTGATAAATTGGCGACCAAGCCAGTGCAGCATATTAAAATTTACTCCTAATAAATATAATTGTTTTAAGGCTGTTCACATCAACAAAACCTGACACAGTATTCTAATACTATATATATATATATATATATATATATATATATATATATATATATATCTTACATATCTCCCCAAATTTCGACTTTTCACAACCATAAATATAATCTGTGTTTTGGCCGATTCCACCAACAAATTTCATTCCACTCAAAATCTAATAATTCTCTTCTCACGATTTATTAATAATTGTTAATTTAAAATTCCCATTAATTAAAATATAGTTTATTCAACTGCCTCTGGTCGGTTTAACAATTTCTTACATAACATTCTGAAGATCACATCATCTGAAGTGATTTGGCAACGTTTTGCCACACGCCCACAATTCGTTCCATCTTTCAACACAGACATTCACAACCTTCGGCCTTCTGTCAAAGGTTCATCTCACTCATTATTCCATGACCACCATTTTGTGCAATCATCAAGTGGCTTCACGATGTAATGCTCTAATGTTTTTAAATAATTTTTAATCTGTCTTTAACTTGTCTTGTCGTATTTTATATAATTTTAACCATTGTACCATGTATCCAGCTCTCACCATGTTACTGGACGTTTCCCTCATCCTATACGAAAACAACAATTAGCAACATCCTCACATACTACTGTAAGTTGATTCAATTTAAATTCATTTTACACTTTTGTTGCTACTGTTATCATTGTAATTGCAGCTCCTGATGATGATGGCAAAGTCCATTGAAAGCTAGAGAGAATTAAAAAAAGTATAAAGAGTCCTCTTTGCTTAAATTTTGTCGAAGTACCCAACAAAAGGCGGAAGCTTTAATTTTTCACCTATATATATATATATATATATATATATATATATATATATATATATATATATATATATATATATATATATATAATATATTTAGTCAACCTACTCAGGTCTTGCTGCAATTCCATACAGTCTCTGTAATTTTCAATTTCACTAAATATCTTCAAATCGTCTGCGAAAAATAGCTTCAATTTGGATAACTGCACTGCCATGTCATTAATATATATTATAAATAATAGGGGCCCTAGATTTGATCCCTGAGGCACCCCTGAAGTATGAGTATGAGGCTTTGAGACGCAACCCCCATACTCGACGATTTGTGTTCTGTCGATAAGACTGTATCAGCAATACTAAGTCTGATAGTCCGGCTGATCGTAAAATTTTGATAAAAGTAAGTGGTGGTCGGGTTTTGCTGATGTGAACAGCCTTAAAATGATATACAGTAGCGGACAAAGGTATGGAAACATTCTTAAACATTTTTAAAAAGTGCGCTAATTTTTTATTCTTTATTACTAAAGACCAATATAGTTTGTTTACAGTCTTGAGCATATAAATGACAATTTGTGGTACTACAGACTAGCATTAAAATAAATTCATATTATTTTATGACCAAAAATGAGACGACAAAAGTATGGAAACATATTTTTTATTACAAAATTAAATACAATAACTCTACAAAAAGATTTAAAAAATACTGTTTAGCTAATATTTGGTAGCATAGTATTCAACACTGCCTGACCTCTGCTGCTCATAGAAGACACCATTGTTTTACAGACGTCTGTTGGGATATTCTGCCAAATATTTTTTACATAATCAAATAAATCGTTCGTATTTTTATAGTTTTTTTTTTGTCAGTTGTCTTTTAACATACTCCCAGAGGTGTTCTATAGGGTTTAGGTCCGGGGATTGCGAAGGCCATGTAAGAACATTAACATTTTTTAGTCTTAAGCAGTCCTTTACAAATTTTGAGGTATGCTTGGAGTCATTATCTTGCTAGAATGTCCATCGTAAAGGTATTTCTTCTTCAATAAAAATGAGCATGTGTTCACTAAGAATATCTTTTTTGTCCATTTTTCCATCAATCTTAACAATTGGACCCGGTCCAAAACATAATCGGTTTTTTTCCGTCTTCCGCACCTGAGCGGCGTTGCTGTTGATCCGTATTCTTGATATATAC